GTTAGTTATGGCGAAACGTCGAAAACCATTTCGCAATTACGACGGTCGGACAACTTAAAACCCAAGCTGAATTTTAGATAATCTATCGGTTATTATTATTGGGTGAGAACTAAAACAATTTTTTTTAGTTTTTATCCAACTTTTTGCTTACTACCTAACCTAATAGTTGTAATAGTAAAAAGCCTGGAAAAAAGTTTACATTTATGCAAGATGGGCCAAAAGAAGTCATGCGACGTTGTTTGACTCTCAATTTTTTAACACATACATACATGAATAAAATTAATTCCACCGCAATTGAAAACGGTATAGCCCAAGACATAATATAATATGTTAAATGGGAGCTCGGTCATGAATGATTTTCAACGTCCCCAGATTTCTCTTTCAGAATCTATAGCCGACTAGATTGACGAGCACCTCGCTGAAGGATTCCAAGATCAGGGCGTTCAATCAAAATGTTCAGATTTAAATGATCATTTTCAATATGAACTCAATGAAAATGAATAGAATATTGAAGGGAAGGGTAAATATAATGGGAAACGTGAGTGCAATATATTTCGAACCGAATACTATTTTGTCACGTATAGGCAATGAGACTGTTTGCGCTTAGATTTATACAACAAACTCACGGCCAACATTGGAGATGTCCTAATAATACTACGATTGATATTCTTGTAACGTTGCGACCATATGTTTCACATTGAAAAGAACATGTGTCTTCGAGAGTGCGTTTAAAGTTTGAATAACGAGTAAATGATGAACTTTACAACGGGAAAGCCACTTGACATGTTAAATACACACGAATAAAGCGTAATAAATTGGCGAATACGTACATATTTATATTTCCGCTTTATTTAACACACAAAATAAACGACCGCTCCGCAGCGAGTTTGTTTAACGTTTTCTGTTTTAAATTATGTTTGGTGTATGTAGCTTCGTTGAGAGCGAAAAAGAGTTTGTATGTAAAGGGTTACATTTTAGAGATGGACTTCTTTTAAATAAAACACTTTAACGGTTTAAAACGCGATATATTATAGTTAAACTTGTTTGAGAATTATTTTTAACTACGGCCCGACGTTTCGGATGCTTTGCAGTAGCCGTGGCCACGGGTAGACTAAAGATGGAGGATGTCTCTGACGTCAAAGTAAAAATTTCTACGCTAGCGCCATTTGTCTCGTCGTAGTTGGTATTTGGCGAAACTGGCCGGGTCCTTGCAGAATTGCCTCACGGTGTCTTCGCTTTTGCCGGTATGCTATTTATTGGAATGGGTGGACTTCCGTTTTGGTCTGGTGTTTCTTCAACCATACAACATAATATTATGTACACACATTTAAATAAAACACTTTTAACGGTTTAAATCTCGAAATATATTAGTAATTACTAGTGTACTTACTTATTTTTAATTTAATTTCACTACGGCCACACAGTTTTAACAACTCGTGTCGGTTTAATTAAAACAACTTATGTAGGTAATTATAAAACTGTTTTAACATTTTATTTTATTTTTCCCGCGTCTTAACTGACAACCAACTTACTAATCGAAATAAAAAGGTGCAGTTTCCGCGAGTCTGTTATTCGAATTTCGAACTATTCAACTGATTCCCTTTTATTGCTGCCATTTTTCTGTTCCTTCCATTTCATTCGTCATTGTTTGTAACAAATCTACTCTAAATTTAGTCCTTCTAAGACTTACGTTGCTCATGTATACTGTATATAATACAGGAAAGAGCGAGGCTGCTCCAACACAAGTTAGTAATAAACTTTCTGGAATAGCCTCAATACTATTTGTAATTTAATTATTAAGAGAGAGACAATAAACATATTTTATTTTTATTTATTTTTTTATATAAGCATCGGACTGAATGCCTTTATTAAATAATAATGCAATATTATTTTTCTTTTTATTTGTTGTACGAAATATAAAATTCGTCAAACTGTCGTGGAAACATGTATAGGTATATCCATTTGACGTTTGGAGACAATAGAATTTAAACAGGGGCTAGTAGTTAGTCTTTCTCATTTTCCCAAACGTTATAGTATAAAAAAAGCAAATCCCCCCGAACGCCCTATTATTAGAAACGCATGAGCTAAGTGCCGCATTACGACGGTATGTACTTCATAAAATTCTTTTAATATTTCGATCTGGCGAATCGTAAACATACCAAACCATTTCCTCGACGCACGAAAATAAATAGTTCCACGAAGTTTTGAGCGCAATATTGTATTATTTGTATAGGTGTGGAGAGAATCGAAATTGATATTTCGTACCATTAATAATAGTGGCAATGTAGCATTCCTGGTAAACGACATGTCTTGCAAACAATAGGATTAAACTAGGCCATCATGCCGAGTCGCATGAAGCCCGTGTATAGGTTTTAGGGTTACTCTGAAAAGACGGACACCACTTCATGGACACTGAAACGGCTTCACTTATTCTATTTATTATTAAATGAGATGCGGTAGAAGCTAAAGTTTATTGTTTAGTAACAACAGGTATATATGTCTTTCTTTTGCAAGCTTGTACCCCGCACAAAATTTTTAAATATTTTCAACCACAAATAAAGTTTTATCGGTGACGATAAGCGTCGCGATTCCCGCGATATATGTGAGATTCTTTAAAAATGCTCGAGGACTCTACGTGAGGCGAATTGAACCCGGTACCTTTACACAACCCCGACGGATTTACATAAGTTTCTCGTATATCGATGGTGACAAATGTTTTCAAAGTTATATTACTTCGCCGGTAAAGATAAAAGCCTTTAAAAGTCAAATAACGTAGATAATTAAGTACTGAAAATAGATAAACGTAGGTTAAGAGTCGCGCTTTGAAGGTACATAGTACAGAGAACGTAGATAAAAGTTAGCGTAGATAAAATATAGCCTGGTATTAATAGATCAATTCGTTTCTTTTCGTATGAATTATTAATTTGAACTGTCGAATAATTTTGAAATGAACTCATTCCACTTCGCTTTCCATCCCATTAACCGAACAAAGTAAAATTGTACACTGGGAAAGTTTGTTTTAAACGAATTGAGGCGAACATTTTTAGTAAATTAAAATAACATTTTTGCACAATATTATCAAATGTAAAAAACCTTTTTTTTGTACAACATAATTTTTGTAATATATATATAACTAGTCCCGAAGTTCTAAACTTTAGAGCAGCGCCGTAAGTCCGTTACTCGATCGTACGGGATATCGCATTATATATGTATAAAGATAGATTTTCAGTGTCCAATCGGACCCTTAAGCGATAATAATTCTTATCACGCGACCTTTTTCCTTTACTTATTCATGTCCCAAAAGTGCCCCAACTTTCGCCTGCGGCTTTGCCACGTGCTTTTCTGAAACTTTTTGAAGAATCGCCCCATCTTCAAAATAGATATTATACTTACATAATGGACGGACACAAAATGTGTTCGTATAAAAAAAGAAATAAACTGAACGGATTTATTATAAAATTAGAAAAATCTCTAAATGAGCCATGAATGTCGATAGCATCAATCAATACTCGATAATGATATTTGCTTAAAATTATTAATTTGCGGCGAAATGTAGCTTACAATGCAGACATGTATTTTCACGCTAAGCTAACATCGTATAATGATTTATTCCACATACAGTTAAACAATATCACAAAAATACAATACTTATAAATTAAACGTATAGGAGGGACACCACTCTGCTTGTGTTGTATCAACATTTAAGTTCACAATGTCTATCAATCTACGACATTTAAATCTACTATCTGCTTACGCAAACGTTCCGCAAAGGAGATATATTTTATCCATAACGACATGACGTACTAAATGAAATGTTAGCGCGAAGACTGAATTACTTTAAACATTACATCGGAATGGAAACATCATTAGTCTGCTCGTGTTTACATACGGAATTAGATCTCATTCAGACAGCATCCTGGCGAATTGTTGATTAATTCACCGTTGATTATGCTATATTGTATAATACCTAAAACGTTTACGTAATAATTATAATAACTTAAACGTGTGTGTGACTTCTGAACGACAGGATCGAAGTGACAGCCACTGGGATGCAATCTGTATTAGCTTTGCAGCCGAGCGTCACGAACACCGGGCATTAATCTCACGTTGTAAACAGTTTTGTGGAACGCATTAGGAAAGCATTAAATAACATTCAATGTTGCCAGTTACTTGTCAATTCTGCGAGTCAATTCTGGCAAACACTAAACAATCGTTCTGGTTAGTTTACTATTTACTCATTTTGGTGAAACGGAATAAATGAGAATTTCTAAGTTGTCGCAAGGCTAAATACATTGCCGCAGATAACGGCCACTTATCTCAAATGTCAGTTCAAACTTAACATTTATTTAATTGAACTTGCTTAGCTGTACAAATCCATATATATTTTTAATCGAGAGGGTGCGAGAACGACTGGTTCATTCCTCTTTCTTATTTCACCACTGGCTCAAACAATTTTAACGAAATCTATTTGTATAGCTGACATGCCGCCACAGGGAACTAAATATTAAAAATAGATTTTTATCCTAAAAAAGTAACAGGCTTCTGCTAGATCAACGGATTCCTAGCAAATTTTTCGAGTCGTGTCGAGACACTTGTTTTTAAAACGTTCTGTAAAGAAAATTTAAGAATGAAATGTTATAAAAAGTAGAAATATTCTTATTTATGATTATAGAGAAAATTATGAAACCGCATGATAGCTGTGAATATTCCATCCTTAATCCCGGAACAAGTACCTAATGGTCGGGAAAGCTGATGCATAAAAGATTGTAATCGAATCAAGGGTTTGCGAAATTTTTCCAATGATTTTATTCTGAGGACATTTTAAATTTATCTTAATAACGCTGATAGCATACAATAAAGACACAAAGAGCATAGAAGCATGTACACATCACTCAGTTTGTTAGATTTTAATAAAATCCAGGCGCACAATGGACTGCAAAAGTTACGTACTTTTTTTTTGTAATTTTTAAACCATAGACAATTTTAATATTTAAATTTTATCACCATTCCAAAGAGGTGACATCAATGTCCAACTTATTCTCATCGTTTAAGTATACCAAGACCCTATTGTTTATTAATACATCGGCGTCTTTCGCCCAAAGGAAATCCAAATGACTGAATTCAGGGTCTGAAACCGCGTACATCTTACTAGGGGTTTTCAATTTGTCGTAGAGCTTCTGTACATCATTTTCAACCGATACATAATCATTCATCCCCCAGAACAAGGCTAGTGGTACTTTGATTTTGCTAAGGTCGTACTTTGGTGGCTTTCTAGTGCCGTAAATACGTCGGTTACTCGATCCATAGTCGAACAGTTGGAATTCGCCTTCGTTGTCTAGCTCCTGAGCGAAATGCTGAAGCGTCTTCCAGGAAGTGCTCATATCCAAGTGGTTTACGAACACCGGTAACAATGTACTATTGAATTGCCGCTCGTTGGCTCCGCACAAGGAGAACAACATGTCTTTACATGACGATGTTCTGAAATGCTCGGGAGTACAAGGCTCAACAAAATCGCTCACGTAACTCGACACAGCAGGTCTAAATTCGTGTCGACCGTGTCTCATCTCGACTGGAGCTACAGTTTCTACGGTGGAAGACAGCCAAATTATTGGGGATTCTATATCCTTAATAAACGCCATCGGAGCTAGAGCTACCCCCGACTCCAGGTAGGAATTATATTCCGGTCTCGACGACAGCATCGCGAAGAGTATAGTCGAGCCCATCGAATGGCCTACGTAAGCGATTTCACTGTCACTCTTCACTCCCTTGATGTAGTCCAGGATGGCTGGCATGTCATGTATAGCTATTTCGTGCCAGGAGAAGTCCCAATATTGCTGAGAATCCTTCTGGAGCCAAGCGTGCCCCTTGGAATACCTATTGCCCCTGATGTTGGCCATCCACACGTCGTAGCCGGCGTCGGCTAACACGTACGCTAAGCTATTTCGTGGTCCGTTGAGTATCCAATGAGCTGAATTTCCGAAAAGACCGTGCTGCAGCAGAGCAGTTTTCCTCGGAACGGCGTTGTCATACTTAGCGTGAGGAATCCGGTGCAGTTGAAGCATGTAGCCTTGCGAGACGACCGTATGCGTTTCACAGATATAACCATGGCGGGATATTATAGCGGGAACGGTGAGCTTCTCGTCAGGATTTGACACCTGTCCTCGTCTAGCCGCAACTACTCGCCGCCTTAGAGATTGAACAAAATTTACATTGATCAGGGCGAAAATGAGAACAATGAGTCGAACATTCATCTTTAGTACTTATTGCCGTGACACTGAACGTAATTTTGATAAGACTGTAATATATAGGAGAGACATTTTCCTATTGACCCAGGGTCAGGATACTTTTGTAGTTTGAGATAATTTTGTTTTAAATACTGTGCAGGGCTGCTAATTATGTTCTACCAACTCTCGAAAAGCTTCCTAATGGATCTTGGATGCCGAATTCGTTGCAAAGTCTGAAATTTAAGTTACCTTTTCTGTGTTGTGTACGTTGTTTGTTGTATTGTGTGCACGAGTATTAAAACATATTGAATTCAGTATTCGTTAGCCAATGCCCGAAATGGCCAAACATCCTAGAATATTCGCTTTATAACAGTTTTCTTCTATTCGGTTGAAGTGATTGTGTAAATAATAAATACATGAATGCAATATATTCCTAGCCATTTGTTTATTTAACATATTGCGTTGGACTAAGTAAACATGTCCGGTTTTATTGAAAACAGTACAAATAATACTTCTGTTTACGCCCGAGTTTACCATGAAATTAAATAAAAGTAACCGCTACCTCCGAAAGCAATTACTAGGATATTTTTAATTATACGGATTTTGCGTAATGTGGACCTCTGGACAGTACGGTCCTACTTCAAGCATGTTTCCGTTTTTTAATTTTCACTTTCTCTGATATATTTACGTTATATGTTCAAACATAATCAGTCCGAGATTAATTGACAAAAATAAAATCGTACTAGGTTTACTATAATAATTTAAAATTGCCAACCCTAATAACTGGAATTTATCAATTCAGCGGTTAACCACGTGAGTTGTTTTCATTGCTTAATACTGAACTAGTGGGCTATCCCAATTATAAATAGTTACATACTTGTATCTTATCTATTGTAATATTGTAAGCGGGTAGTACTAAAACAAACTAATTACGTTGCTCTAACAATTGGTGCAGTTCCTGAGGTCCTGGGTTGGACTCCCGGAAAACATAAAATAATACTTTGGTCGAATAAAGCACAGAAACCTGATTAACTTGTTGGTTCCAATTTAAATCGATCAGTGGATTTGACGCCGGATGATTTTCTGTCCTATGCCAGACTGAGGCTCAACACAGATGCACATTTAAATCGCGATTATACATGTGTATGCATGCTTAAAATAGGCTTACTTCCTTATATGGCTACACCAGTCGGACTAAATGATTGAATATACTTTTGTTTAACATAGAGAAAAAAAACAAATCCCTTCAGTATAATGGTATAATGACATACATAAACAATTTCATGGTCAGTATAATGACAGTCCTGTATCGAGCAGTAATATTAAAAAAAAATCTTTTTAATAAAACACTTTGAACATTATTTTTAACTTCGGCCCGACGTTTCGGATGCTTTGCAGCAACCGTGGTCACGGGGAGTCAGTCCAGTCTCCCGGCGACCAAGGCTTAAACCGTTTTATTTAAATGTGTGCCTCTTACTCGCGTTAACTACAGTATTTTATCAATCTCTCCATGTCCACACTCAGCATGAGTATTTATTACTAAACAATGTACGGTTCGACTATTTCCACTGATTAATATTCCTATGGCAAACTTTTTTGTTGATATAATTTACTAAACTACATGGCCCAGCGATCCTTTTACTCTCATACCTATTGAGAATACCGAGAATCACCATCTCCTTGGATACAGCTTAAGGAATGTTGTATACGAAGTTACAAATGCTGTAATTAATTAGCAATTGAGGGCCACTTAACTCACGCTAACCATATATGTACTAGCTGTTGTTTTGGGCACCAAAATGTGATTTTTGGAACCTCCTCCTCATCTTTATAAATAAAAGACGCCCGTCGCGTCCCGTCATTACAATAAAATAAGAAAAAATTGCGACGTAATGGAACAGTGCGTAGGCGCTCGCTGTTAAAAACCTTGTTTATAAAACATAGTATTTATTGCAGAAGACGAATATTTGCCGCACAGAATACAGATGCCCCGAGGTTCTTTCTTTGCGATTGTAGAAAAGCCTTACAGTATCTCCATCTAGATGTTTCTAATACTCGTATATGTCATATTTCAGAATTTGCGTTTGTGCTATTTAAACGACAAGACCCTATTTGTTTATTAAAATATCGCTAGTTGCTTTTTGCGTTATATTTATAATAAAATATGGATATGCGATATTGCCTGATCTTTTGAAACGAACATGAAAGCGAATACCTGGTCGTCATTATGCCCACATAAACAGTCTCCTTTAGTAGATCGGTAATGAATCTTCTATATTTAGCGTCGGCATTGACAATGCTCCTATTCGTTCTCTCATCATGCTCCTTATGTCAATTGAATGTCCTCATCCTGGTAAATAGCGATGCTCGTTAGTGAAATTTCACTTATTTCGAGTGTATACATTCAAATATAGGACATAAAATATTTGGTTAGAGATATTTTCCGTTCCTTATTATTGGCTAACTAGCTAGCGACCTGGAAAACGTTTTCTTGCCGCATTAAGTATTTCGACCAAATTTGATTCCAGTTTTTGGTAATTTATCTCAAAAGATAGATTATTGCGGACATATTTTTGATAATTTATAGACGAATCATTCTTACATATACCTTTTTAGGTATATAGACTTGTTTTTTTTGCAGTCAAGAAATTTTCCTCGTTTTTCATATTTCACTGCTTCTTCGCTCCCAGTGGTTACGGCCTGATGATTAGCCCAGTAGCCCCTAAGATTAACGTATTCCAACAAACAAACTTCAAACTTGCAGAACTCGCATGCTAAATGAAAGATTCTAAATCAAAGCCGTGAAGTGTAAATTACAATTTTTAGCTTCAGTATATTTTTGTAAGTCCATCACAGACACGGGTCGGCAACGCCTCGCCATCAGCATTTGATTTGATTTGACCTCACGCTTGTAAGTTCTCTTCTTCAGTAAAAATAGAAGATATTTATCGCAAAATAAACAAAAAGTGTATGAAGACTCATTAACAATTCAGTTAGACAAAGTAAGGTTTCTCAGCATTCTCAATGGCGAAAACGAACGTTGAATGCAATATTAAACACATTTGAAGTAACCGTAAATCCTTCTTCGTAAAAAGTGAAAAAATATCTTTAGAATATCGTTAGTATGCGAACACACAGGAGACGAAGTTATTTGTCAAGAGGTTGAAGAGTAAAAACCTTTTACCTTTAAATAAAGCGTGAAAGGGTGTTTTCTAAACTAAATAGAGACATTACTTTTGAGTTGTTTTGGTTCGTGTTTTTATTTTTTAAAATTTTGTTTAGGATTATTAGCATTAGAGCGCTTATCTGAGCTACGTCAAAAAGTGATGTAAATTTCCATGAAAACCCCATTAAAAGTGTTATATTATATTATCACTCAATTTAATATCAAGCACCAGTGTTATAAATTTTTTGGAATGGATACTCAATGTTAGGCTTTTGTTCTTTCAATTGACATGTTCAAAACTGCTTTATGATTATTATACGCCTGTGATAAATCTCCATTTCTCCAGTGTGGTCGCACCCCAATGATAAGGAGCGAATCGTCCGGCACGTAGGAAATGAATCGTCCGCTGGCTTCATTCTGAATCCCGACATCAACCCAGTTAGCACCGATAGCTGCACCTTTATTTGACACGCTTCACTCGGGTTGCAGCCCCTAATAAGGTTTCATCTCCGGCTCCTAGTATTCTAAACAGTTTTTTTCCAAAGATTTCACTCCGGGACGGAAGGAACAAGGTCTAATTGAAACAATGTTCAAACATTAACTCTGTATTTGGTTCATACAAAGCGAGTGTGTATTGGTAATTGATAATATTTTACATAGTACACCTTACAAACCGCTAGACACTTTTTGATAAATAGGTTTAACATTTATTACAACAAACGTTTTAGTGATTTATTAAAGTCTAGGATCGTACACGTCGTTCTAATTTCTAAACGATAACAAAAGATTTCGGATAATTATTTCTACGATCGCATTTCATGCCTATTCTAATTAATAAATAATGTAATATTCGATGCATATCTATAACAACGATAAAAATGTCAGCTTATATCCATATGGGCTCAAAATATGGACATAAGTTGGTTTATTTACAATGTACAAGAAGCTATCTACATATATATACATAATATACAAACTCGTATAATAGAAAAGAAACTTTACAATGGATGAAGTTGGGAAAGTTATTTAGGCTCCTTTGAATCAAGTCGATGTCTGGAGGAAGTCTGCGAAGGTCCAGATTATTTTATAAATGCATCTACTTTTTATCACTTATTACTATAATTTTAAAATCTTAAGCTACTTTACATTCATTTACTAAGCTATACCCGTAGAATGACATAGTAATATAAAAATAAGACCTACCGATCTATACAAATTATTTACATTCTAGTTGTTCAACGTCCACCAATGGATCTGCAGTTCCAAGAATAAGATAGCTTTTTTGTACAACTAACTCCACAATAATATTGTTTCAATAAAAACTGTATAGTGTATAAACTGAATTCTACACTTTATAGAAATATATTTTTACCTAAGCTATGATTAGATGTAATATTACACTTTTCATAAACAAAGTTGACACAGATTGCGAGTAGCAATGGGTGTCGCCTAACTTTAGTAGTTACATTGCGCACTGCACATAAATGAATTGAACTTTACTTAGCCATAACCGGAATCGTTAAAAAGTGTAAGTCGTCACATAACTTAGACGTTTCTGTGATATCAGGTCAAGGCATCACTTCTTAGATTACAAATTTCACTTAAACACACGTCCTTTTGTGTTAGGACATACCTATCTTTCACGTTAAATTTCAGAAATACATGTTATACGTTTCTTTACTAGGGTGGTGGGATAGTTTACTGTGAGCGGTAGAAACAGTTGTTTGTAGCAAACAGTCGGAAGCGTTCAAACGAGCGTCGCCTGCTCGGCGACGTGCGTCCGACTGCGTAACGACTCTCACACGATGTCGTGGCACGAGTTGCCGTTGCCGGTTCGCGTCGTCTTCGTGGGTTGGGCTCTCGCCATCGCGTCCGAGTACGGCGGCGGGCAATACATGACCTGGACAGAAGAATTTGCGGTTATAATACACTAGATACCGTGTCCTACACGTCATCGTCGAATTTTTCAATCTATTGACTTTACACATCCCTCGCGCAATGTAATTTTAACCTTAATACAGTATTATTCATTTCAACTTAAGAAAATCATTAAAGATGAAATCAAGAGTTTAACGTTTTCATATGTTATCTATTATTTTATTTATAATACATTTATATGATATTTAAAATAAAAATATTAAAGTTTTCAAGGGTAAACGACATTGTAGAAATGGAACAAAGCAACAAAATAATAATATAGAGGGAACCATTAAATATGAATCGAGGTAAAACGTAAAGGCATTGAGTATGCGGAAGAGACTCAAAAGAGCGATTCCTTTCAATATTTAATTGGGAGCCAATCGAAGTAAGAAGGACCCTAATTAATTATTGTCACGTTCCAAAATAAATCGGGAAGGTCACGGCCGAATCACAGATTTCTCTTAAATTTTCCAAACACGTAAAAAAGTATTAAACGGCCTCTTTGCGATTGGATTGGATTCCAAAGTCTCATTATCCCTTGGCTATAGTTACCTCCTGATATTGTATTATGCAGATCGTTTACAATGATTTATATAATCATAACTAAATAGATATTTTTTTTGAATTTAATTAATACTTATACGTTATACACCTGTATATGTAATATCGTTGATTAATTTTAAGACAAAATAATTATTTGAATACTCTCAATACAATCGCAGGAACCTTTCTCCTTCCAAAAATGGCTCGTTTTTAATAAAAGAAAATACATCTTTAGTTTGCCTCTTCGAGATGGAACGTCGAAATAAACCTAATAACTTCTTAATGGAATAAAAATACTGATGTCTCGTGTAAACAGAAACGGTATTTTGTATTACTTTCCCTAAATGAATTGAATCTTGTTTTGGGCAAATAATTTTATTACGGTATAACAACGTATTGTGTCTATTTGATCTACGAAGGAAATGAAGTATACACGAATCATCGGGGAAATTTTCATACAACCCACGCGTCGGTGATGTAATCGTGGTATTGATCACTTTGACATATTCTAACAAATCCGTGATTTCTTTTAAGTAAGTCGTCTTTTGCGTATAAGATAGATTCCGCTTCAAGCTTAAGTCTAAGACCGCACTCAAATATTAAAAAGCGTACATCTTTCAACTCTTTGAAGTTTGATTAATTATGTACTTAGCGATCCCGCGTTCGCGTCTAACAAAAGAATGGGCGAAGAACAACGTTCGATTTATGTATTTCTGCATTTTATCGAAGTTCTACTTGAAAGTATCGACGAGTGAAGCGAATGTAAATCTTTATTGGCGGCGGTGATGTGTGAGCCGTGTTTTCGTAACGTAAAATGTTTGTTCGTTGTTAAAAATAACTGTAAATCATTCGAATAACATATTTTACACGACTCATACTCCGTTCGACGGGAAAATTCATGTGTTATTGATTGAAGTGTGTTTAAATGCAGATACAAGGTTGATTGTGTGCAATTTTCATATAGCTAATTGTGTTTCGTAGTAGTCTACCACGTCACTCCGTTCATGTGTGTATGCACCAGAAGAAGTGTTTAATGATAAATATAAGTCCAACCGTACGACTATTCAGTCAAAACATGTAATTGAACCTTTGGCTTATTTGTTAACAAAAAGCCTCTATTCGAAGTGGTCGTCATCGCGAGTCTTGAGGATATCGTTGCGATTGTACCTTTCTAAAGGCGATCCGGAAGTTCTCGGAGAGGAAAGCGTAGAGCACTGGGTTGACGCAGCTGTTCATGTAGGCCAGCACGTGGGACACGATCTGGGCGGTCACCGTGAAGTACGTGATATTGTACGCATCCAGCGCCTTCACCAGCAGAATTATCTGCGACAACATACGTTCGATGCTTAGAAATGCGAATATTCAAAGCCGATATAGGTCGACAGCGCAGCTCGCTTGGATGTTAAACGGCCGGCTTATCACCCCCCATCAAGTGGACCTCGACCTTGTCTGTCCTCCTCTATGTTAAAAAAAGTAGCAGTCGATCATAATGAAGATGAGAACAAAAGCGTTAGATTAGACTAACTTAAGCCAAGTTTTATAACAAAGGATTAAGAGAATAAGTAATGAAGCAGGTGTAAGCTCGAGATTGTACGGCTTCGCGTGAATTTACAATATTATGTCTACAGCAAAATCAGTGCAAAGAATGAATGACTAATGAATGGTCTTTTAGGATATTAATTTGATAACCTGAATTAGATTATTTGTGTAAACTCTGCCCGCTCTCATTTATAATTTCTCATCTTTATGCTGAGAAATAACGTTGGCGTGTAGTATTAAAATACAAATGTGGCTCATCACGTTGATGTTCTATACTAAATATTCTTGAGCTTAGTTAAATCTTAAAGTTATTTACTAAAAGTTGAAATGAAGGGTTTCCAAGCGGAGCGGTCTATTTTAAGATGTCATTTCGGTCTATCGGATGTTTTATTAATTACACAAGATAAACGTTCAGCGAATCATCGAAAGTGAATTGGACCCGGGAATGTTTTAATTAATTTACAAGTTTGTTAGGGATAAGTTTGAACAGGGAAATCGATGAAAGATTATTATTGAATTTGTGTTACTACATCAAAACACTTGATGTAATTGAGTTGTAATGCGGTCTGACATTCTGACTTCTAGTTTTCAATTGAGTCAATCGGTCCAATATTTTGGGCTACTTTTAGGAATTTCAGCTTTTATTAACGACGTTCTTCTAGACCCGTTTTACATAATCAAAATGAGAAGCAAGTACGAATGTAAATGTAAAATTTATACATTTTCTTAGAGACTTTACCTGTATCGGGCACCAACACACTGCGAACACCACCACGACGACTACTACCATTCTCGTGACCTTCTTTCTCCCTCTTCTACTTTCTGCTGATACCCTACCGCCGGGAGCGCTCTTCCACAGTCTCGACAACATACATATATACAAAACACTAATAAGCGCCAGAGGTATCACATAGGAAGATAAAAAGAAAGATATTTGAAAACCCAGCTTGCTATAACCCTGCTCTTCTAGAAAGACACAAGAAGAGTGGTTCCTGTGGAAATAGGAGTACTCTCTCTCCCCGTGGCAGATCCCCACCGGAATTGCCGTGGTAAGAATCAACACCCAGATGCAGGCGATCGCCAGCAACGCATTCTTTTCAGTGCGTATTGACATGGAGGCTATCGGGTGCACTACGGCCATAAACCTGTCTATGGACATCAGAACCAGCGTGTAGACGGACGCGTGCGCCGTCACTACGATAAAGTACTGGACCACTTTACACCACCAGTCCCCGAAAGGCCATCGCGGCATAACATAGTCTGTGGCGGTGAACGGAACGCAGAATATCACGAAGAGCAAATCGGCGACGGCAAGATTTATGATCAAGAGATTCGTGGTGGATCTCATGCCAGGGTTAGCCGCGACGACGAGGACCACCAGCGCGTTACCGACGAGGCCGACGATTCCGATGAAGCCAAAGAATATGGGGACGACCCTAGACACGACCTTCTCCAACAACTCGCCATTCTCGAATTCAGCGCTGTAGTTGCAGCCGCCGAGGTTAGCTATCTCTTCGCTAGTGAGGTTGAGGCAAATGCTGTAGAACTCGTCTTCCGTAGACTCCATGGCTAAGTCCTCTTCATTGAGCAATTACCTGCGACAAAAAGACTTATTTATAAAAATGTTATTTAATGAAACATCTAGTAATTGCGCTTTAATATCTAAGAGGGCTTCATTGTACAGTCGAAACATACCTGTATCAACTGTTAACTTATGTCTCGTGAAAATAATTTCTCAAGAAATTTCTAATTTTTATTTTGTACATCGGAACGTGTACAGAATGTTGAGAAATGTCTTCGCGGAATAATTTAATAAGGCAATGTTGTAATATTAATAGGACACCGTACGGAGGACGTAATAAATGTTGATTAAAATTATATTCCGTTTCCAAGGAATTGCCAAAATATAAGGACGAATAAGCTGCTATGATACAGATATCGGACCCGCTACTGTTTAAGTTTATATTAAACATTGTTCGCGAAACTCTCGCAAATACTTAATAAACCCGACCGGAACAGAACGAACGGCACACTGCATGGCGGTAGTTTAAAGATTATAGTTTAAGTACAAAATCGAACTACTCAATACGAAAAATGCTTCAAATTGACCGAGCAATCCTTCTCATTCCCCTCTTTTTTTAATCCAAGATCTATCGATCTATTTAACGGCCTTCTCGACCCCTCGACCCGCCTGCGTTGTATCTTACCATAGAGCATTATAATTATAATTAGTCAATTCTCTGTCGCTATAAACTTGTTATTAAGATTCGCTAGTAACATGTAGAGTAGATTAAGTAAAAATTATTTCACTCACACTACCTTTAACAAAGGCCCAGTATCGAGTCATTTAGCCGACTGAAATGCGAACACAGTATGTATTTCATTTATAGCAGGCACAAAGCTGCGAAAGCCCTACAAAGGAGGGATCAAAGGGCACTTCGCAATCGGGACTCGCGGAGAAACAAAAGGGAATTATTAATTATGCCCAATACGTCGTAAGTAGGGAGTATTTTACAGTGCCGTGTTGTCATGGCAGCGGATTACTCTCGTTTCGGTTAAATAAACATGTTTTTAACCCTTCATAGTTCATTCGAGAGTGTACGCTGTGTATTTACACGTGTACATTTTTATTGATAGAGTTTCACAAGCTTTTCAAAATAATAATCTTAATATTCACTACGGAATAACGAGCGTTTAGCGTTTGGGCTTCATTTTTGGTTTTTTTACGCAACAACATATTTATCAATTTATTCGACAAAGTTAAGCAGACGAGATACGTATCAAAAAAAAAAAATTAAACCTTATTTCTCTTAGATGGAACAACAATAATAACATCAATTAATGTAGGTAATAGGATATATTATCTCCTTTGAGTGTACGACTAAGGCGTCTAATTGAATCCTTGTTTTCCTAATTAGAGTTATATTATTGTTAGGTAAAATAAGCAAAAGAAGTGCGAGTACATATCAAATATGTCTTGGGACATGTTTACTTTAAACCATAAGTCGTTAAAGAATGAATTGTAGTTACAAAACGGTGATACGGAAGTATGAAAAAATAATGCTTCGTATGCGAGCTATCTTTTAATGAATTATTGTGTAGCAAAGGTATCATACAAACTAAGATAACAATAGGAAAGTCATTAAATATTATGTATTTGCGATACAATTGAATCTTTCATGCAAATATTTTTAACAATTAGCAATTTGCGTAGATCAGCCACTTTAACCCTAAAGTTTGTTTCATTAAAATAGTGAATACATGGGTTTTTACTCCTTCGGAGCAAATCATTTTATAAAAAAATATTCAGATCAAAATTTGCTTTTCTTTTCCACATTTGCTGTGTGGTCCACGTGGTTTAGATTTGGGACGCAAAAAACTATGGCAAATAAAATAAATTTAATTTATGTATTAAATTTATTTATATTTTATTATGTTCTTCGATATTGTTGAAACTTATAAAAAGAAAAGTATACTGAAAACCATAATTAACAAACCAGAACGATGTCTTGTTCCTTTTCTTGTTTACAAAATGTTTAAAATAATGTTCTTAATATTCGACAATAACACTTAGTCGGTTGTTTGTGCATTGTTATAATGGGGTGCGCTGTAGAGCGGGTAGGGCAGTCGCTTTTGAGAAAACGTACAGCGAAGATTGTTTAGAACGTCGGTGACACCAGGATTGTCTTTTGCTTAACGTATTTTGGAACGTTGGACGTCGGTTGGTTGGACGTTGTTATACCAGGTATGATGTACATTATTATATTGTAATAAATAGCTCATGATGTATATACGTTTTTATTATATTGAATTGGCATCAGTATATGTCTATTAAGTATCGTAACCGTGTGTAATATTTTATACACATTTTATAGATAAATATGTATAAAATGTGTATATAATTGGGGTACCATTATTTGTTAGATTCCTAGACGTTTGTATACAATAAAAGTGTTGCTGTTATTATGGGGAATACGTTGCTGAAATATATCTTGCTTAGCGTATTTTAAAAATACGAAATAGAATAGCTTTTGACACTATATTTTCTTTTATTTACAAAATATTTCTAGAAATCTTATAAAGTCCAAAGTCTATATCTATAATATAGGTCTATATAAATAAAAATCTAACCCACGCAAACTTAATTACAATCATGATTATGTACAGCTTGGATTTAGTTTTGTTTGCAGTAACTACAGATTTAAATAATATAATTTGTGCACAATGTACAAAAACTATTATATCAAAAATGCGCTTGGGCGATTGAGATTTTTATTTTAAGATTGGTTTTTCCACGCCAAGTACGTCGTATTAAACTATTGGTATATCAGGGTAGCATGTTGGACATAGATTTGCTCTACTGGACCCATATCATTGTTTGATATTATATAAGCGAGCAGTAGCCTACAGCATGTTGTTTGCTCGTTGCGTTTTTCAAGTCGTTATTCGCGAATTATTTTTGTCACCAATCCAAGTAAATCGAACGCTTTCGAAAGAAAACGTGGAATAAATTATATGAAAAGTGTTAGTATGACGTGATAACGCCTCGCTTCTTCGAAGGGTGGCGTAATTTATGAGTTGACTTACTTTGAAGTATGGGCTATTTGGGACGCACCAATGTGAAAGTAATCTTACAATTTAATATTTTTGATCTGTGTTCAGAATATAATAATAAGATTTCGAGGGTAGTCGAGTTTTTTCACGATACGATGGCCGATTAAGACTAGAGCGCGCTGTGAGACGGCTTCTGGTGCCACTAGTGTGGGTCGGTTTTTTATCTTAAAAAAGATAATGTCAGCGTATTAGAGAAGCTATAGTCATTGTTGTTTCGTAAAGTTTCCGTGTCGCCTATACGAGACGGATATTCAAAAGTCAGTGTACTAGTGACGTAACTTTATACAGCCCATCCCCTCTGGCTTTTCAATTAAGGTATATTCCCTCTTCTGCGGGCGTCAGAGGTTCTTAGGGAATAGAACATGAGAAATCCTTAAGTTCACGTTTTACATATAGTCTTAGGGTAGGGTATGCATGATTTTTGCGCCAGAGACGCTTTGTATAAACTGGTTTCTAATTTCGATATGCACAGTGGAACGGTAGGCCATCATCCACAACTGTAAGGGCACGCCTCTGCCATGCGGTATGATTATGTTAATTAATTCTCAAACTACAATTAACTATATTTTAAATGTTATAAGACACGCATTCTTTTCTAAGATCTGTGAACGGCTGAAAGCGCCTCAACGTAGCAACGAAACAGAAATTCCCATTAACTTTCCTTAAGTACATGCTACGAATAATGTTGAAATTTCACAGCTCCGAACGCCTTTGTAAATGATATTCATAAAATATCTCAAGTTCACACCTAAGCTCTCGGTAATATATTAACAATTCACTTTCAGATGATGTGAGTAACGATCGAGGGGGAATGAATTTCTTATCAAATTGTGCAGAAGTTTTTTTATGGCTTTATATCGTATGCAGAATGAACAAGTCAGATAACATTAAAAGGGCACTTTTGAATTGAAATTCCTTCGGTAAACATTAACACTTCGTATTTTTCTTGCTTTTGCTGACTCACTAAAGTTATCTTGACGAAAGCGAACTTTATTAAGCTAATGTTACAGACGATTTTAATAAAACTCGTTGTTTTAATTATATAACAAAGTTAATTGAATAAATACGGGACTTTTAGTTTTTAAGGAATCAATTACGCATTTCTAATAAAGCAACGTAAGCTAACATTCGTCAACATTGTGGCCCGTTATAGCCCGAAATAATCTCTATCGCATGATCATATAATAAGTACGTGCGAATCTGTAGACGGAGAAGACGAAGCCATAAATAATGGTATATTTACAATGACGGCATCAAATAGCGCTAAGCACTTGCACGACCGCATTTGATTAAAATGCAAATTCTCTGACGTCGAATGAATAATTTAACTTGAATTATTAACAGCAATGCTTATGGCTAAAATGCATTTCAAAATGACCCTTCAAATCGCCCGTGGCCATCTTACAATCTCGTCTTTCATCTATTTCGCCCCAGTGTGCGATTCGTATGTAGTAGTCGAGGCTCGTTTTGATATACGCGAGTTGCCGCATAAAACTTATCGAATATTTTAAACTTCGAGGTATATTTTATCGAAATTTATACCGACGGTGTCGGAAACGTCAAAAGTTGAGAAAACTTGCGGAAAACGAAAAATAGAACACACGACAGGGACAAAGTTAGCCAAACACCAGAGGACACGTCTAAGTCATGAGTTATATTGAAATTTCCAGAAGCACGATAAATCTTCTGCGAGCGAAATTGTCGAAATAAAAGTATCTCCTTTCGCGGTTGTTTCGCTTTTAAATATTCACAATAATCTCTTATTCGGCTCTTTGTTTAATGGAAGATGCCTCGTTTTTGACGTAAGCCGCTTTCCAGTTATTATATATCGACAAAAGGAAAATATTTCGCTCGTTTTTTTGTATATTCCTACTTTCGTGAATGGAGCAAGAAATGTTGTTAAGTCTGGAGCTAAAAAAAGTTTAAATGAATAAGTTGGTATTTCTAGGGAGC